TCAATTTTTTCCACATGCAGGTTCAATATAAGAGGGGAGAAGCAGGGATTAGCAGGAAAAGATCTGATGCATGGGGAAGTAGTCATCAAGACTGACCCCATTCTAACGAAGAAACAATTGAAAGAAGGAAAAAACAAAACAAGCAGGCAAGTCTTCAGGACAGCATGCCGGCCAGCAAGCCTTAGCTGGGTAGCCCAAGCAATAAAAACGCTACCGAAAACATGAGCCAACGTCTTTCGACGCGGCTAATTAATAAGCGGAACTACTTTGAAAAGTTTTGCTAAATTTTGAAAAAGAAAAAATGCTTTAGAGCTGTAATTTTACAAATCTTCGCTCCAAATCTGAAAGTTTTCCAACTAAATCAGTGGCATTATATGTTTCTCAATTTGAAACGTTTCTGTCCTTACGTGTTTCAAAATGCCGTCCGAAATAGATAAAAAGACTAAACGTCCTCTTGCTTAAGACTTCGTGTCTTCACATGGGGAGGGGTGGCATGAGGAAAGGCAAGCCTTACCATTTGTTTTCCCATATATTTCTCCCTACGTTTGCTCATAAACTCAATTACACATGCAGGCCCCATTGGCTCTTGGTGTAATTGGAATTTTAAAGGCACAGTAGCGCCTGTTGAGCGATGTGTTTTAGTGAAATATAACGCGGGCGAACTTTTGCAAGATGGCGGAAACCATGGAGTTAACTACCAAGACCGAGGATTTCGACTTTGTTTTGGATATAATATGTTAGCATAATAATATGTTAATTAAGCTTACTATGTAAATTTATGAAATGATGCCAACTCCCGATCTCGGCCATATTGAATTTCATGTGCTCCGATTTTGATTTTGTTAATATTCAAAATCAAAATATTCGCTGCTCAACAGACGCCATATATTGTATAAAAAGAAACATACTCCAGTCCGTAGTGAAACACGCGGGATGTTGCGAGACTTTCGAAAAGCGTAATAAAAACACGAGCCGTAAGCGAGTGTTTTTTAGCTTTTCGAAAGTCGAGCAAAAGAAAAGTTTTACATGCCATTGCCACAATGTATTTTCCATTTAATTTATTTTTAGTTTTTTTTTTCAGATTGACTTGATTATCAATTACTGCATCATGGCAGAGTCGGTCGCATGCAACGTAAGTTTTCAAAATTTTTGCTTTCCCATCACTGTATCCCGCCGCTCTCTTTGAGCGCGGTCAAGGGTAAAACTGAGATAATGTCGAAGTATTATCTCATGCCCTTATCATGATAAAATCTAGGTTTTTGCAAGGCCGGATGCACTAATGATTCCAGGCGGTACTGTAACATATCTCTTGCCTCTATCAATATACGGCAAGAAAAAATATGTTGCCAATACCCTTTAATTAGTTTGTGACTTGTATGTTATAATCCGACTAAGAAAAACGGTAGACAAAATTTGTAGTAGGACAAAATTCGGAAAAAAGACTACAATCATGGACAAAAAGTAGGTTCAAACACGATGTTCCTGTAGATTTGACTCCATGTATACACGACATACTATATTTGAAAAAAGTTTTAGTGCTGCGTAGGCTGTAAAAATAGCAAATAACTCATTATAGTCCTTTTTTAGTTTGTTTACTCCGCTAGTAGATAGTGATTTAGGATACGATTAACTATTGCTCTAAAGTCACTTAAGCTTACGGTTCGTTGTATTTTGATGAGATGTGCAATAATCAATAAGTAAAATTAATGTTTGAGGGAAATAAGAACGAGTTTAGTAGAAACATCTGATCACGTCTCAGCATGCCGTCGGTGACTTTTATCCACCAATTATTATCATAACTCATCGGCCATGACATTTCGCCAATGTACACGTTGTACCCGATTGGTTCTTTGACGTTCACATGGAACACTTTACCCTTCCTACCGAAATTATATTCGTTTTGTACAGAATCCAACTTTGAGATGGGAAACATTTTGTCAACAGTATCTTTAGATCCATTTCAAAGTTATTCTGAGTCTTCGATAACGTTAGGAGTACAGTTTTAACGACGAGATCTTTTAGAGTCTGCACACGCTCCATCGAGTGGCTGTTGATATTGTACAACATCACATGCATAAGGAATACATTAACATATCATGTGAGCATTATATACAGGATTTGAATAATTAAACAATGTATGCGTTAACATTTCACGTGAACATTGTATACGGTATGCGCGTTGTATGCGTATACAGATAAATAGACAATGTATATGTATACGACGCTGATCTGATGTACGCGTTAACATTTCACGTGAACATTGTGTGCAGAATATGGAGAATTACCTTACCACGTGATGGATAGACTATAAATTAAACAGTTTAACCTATTGTTTGATTACGAAAAAAATGAGTTTTGCTAACAAATCCACGTCTGTAGGTAATGTGTTAGTCGTAGCATGGGGAGTAAGGAAATTTCAGTCATGCAAAATGATTTTAACATTTATTTGTCTTGCAATTGTCTGGCAATTAGTTACATGCAGCAATAAAAAATAATTGCTTCTAAATCGTTATCGCTTTTTGCTCGTTTGCCATGGTTTCCTTAAGGAAGGTTTAGTAAACAATTTGGCTAAGTTTAAATTCTAATCTTCATCATCATCATCGTCATCATCATCACTGCCCTTATTTTCTTTCACATCTTCACTCGTGGTCGTTTAAAAGCCTTTTAATGAGGAACTTTCTCTTATCAACTGCAGCTTCTATTGCTTCTTCTGGGTCAAAATCATCATTTTGAAAAAACGCATCTTTTGTGTGCATTATTTTCTTATGTACGGGATCTTTCTTTATTTGTCTCATCCACAAAAGGCGCTCTATGTAGATATTTTCTAATTCTTTCTGGAGTTTACGCATAGCATTCAAGTAAGCTTTCTCTTTAGCGGTATGCTCATCGAAACCACTGCTTATAAAACTTTCTTCCATTTCCTCAAAAGCTGTGTTGCTTCTTTGTTTTGCTTCTTCTATTAACGGTATCCAGGGATCCATTTCTTCTTCGGATTCTGAGTCAGACACTGTCGAACTTCCAGACTGCTGAGTGGAAGTGGTCGAGACATCATCTTGGAAATCTCTTTCTTGACTGTCCGAGTCTGTTTCAGACATGTTTCTTCCTTGTTCTCGTAGTGGACAGTGTTCCTGTTCGTGTCTGCGCTGATTGTAACCGCGGCTAAAGTATCTTCCGCAAAATTGACAGCTCATTCCCTTACCACTGGAGGTGTGGGAATGGCTTGTTATCGAACAGTGATGCAGTTTTATGAGCAAATGAGCATGTGCTCATGAGCAGTTATGAGCATGTGCTCATCTGCTCATCGCATAAAACTTTACCCGATTCATTGAGATTTTTTAGGACGTCGGGTAAAAGTTTGCGCTAGAAGTTTGCGCGTTTTGGTTAGGGAACCGCTGGTCGCCGGCCGTTATTTCAGGATGTGATCGACAAATTAAAATATGCTGGCTCCGTTGGCTACTGATCACAGACGGCAAGCAGATTAATGGCTGCATTTTATCTTTTTCAGTTTATAAACATTCCCGTATATGAAGCAATAGCTTCCTGGATAGAAACGGCCTCTCTACCGATTGTTTTGTTGGGTAAGTGGCAATTTTGCAATCCTATCCGACTGCAGACTCTCTAGTGGATTGCACGCTCATAAGTGACTGAGTGATCTAATGTGTTTGTAACTTTTTTGAAGGAGCCAAAGGAGTGGAAAAGACAACCACGCTAATCATGTTACATGAATCATGCAAAAGACCGAAACATTATTTTGTAAGTAATATTCAGAATCAGAGGATTGACCATCTGTGTTGTCTTCACGTTATCCCGACAAAAATCTTTTCCCGTGCTTTTTCGAACAAGCTCTTGTTGATTCCCCTCCAGGCTCTTTTGTTTTGTTCAAGAAAAGCAGCAGAAGCAACATTTTTAAAGGGTACAAGCGACCTAAACCTAAATTTTATCAATTGGATAGCGACCAACGTATTAATTTATCCAATGGATAGTGCTTTTTTATCCGTTGGATAGAGCTATTCATGCTTCGTACAACGCAATTTATCCAGCGAATAAAATTTATGCGTAAACCGTTTCCTTTCTGTTTAGGACCTTTCAAGTGATCACGACGTGGTGCGCTTGTTATTTGTTGATTACCCAATGATATGGAAATTCTACCATCTACCCATTATTAACGTTTGTTTTCTTTCTGTTAATATAAGACTATATCGCCATTATCGGGTAATGAAGAGAAAGAATATCCAGTTTGGTTGTTTGTTGACAACATACACGAAATGGTGAACTACACATGCTTAAACGACCTGATCCGTATGTACGTCAAGGGCTGGACACAGGTAATTCTGGAGAATTTTAAACATTTGTTTGCTGCTTTTCAAGAATTTCCTGTATGTCCATGCATATAAAATTCCCAAATAAATTCGGCTTAATATGGTAATAAATTTGGACCATTACTGGCAACTTGAAAAATTATTAAGAAATGAATTATTTTCATTTATAAAGTCTTGCAATTTGTTTCTAAACTCTTTATCAGTGAACGTGAGATCTTTTAGCTCATTTGGCAGATTATTCCAAGTTTTAGCCGTAACATTCACGCCGCTAAACGTCGCCCCAGTCTCCAAAAGGGGCCGCGTGGCTGGAAATATTTTGTGTATTCTGATTGGCTAAAATTCGTATTTACGACCCGAACTTAGACACACATGACATAAAACGTCTCGTGTTGTCTAACACTGTTCCTATCCTTGCGGTCACCGTTCCTATGCTGTCTGGCTACCAATTTGATAAGCGAGTATAGTGCTATGGCGCGTAGTGCCCGTTCAGCGCAACATCTATAGTCAAAATTCGCCGTTTCTTGCCCATTTTTGCGCTCTTTCTTGAACTGTTTGAAAAAAAGCCAAAAATTAAGCAAAAATTATTTTCAAGCTCTCCTCCTTTGACTTGCAGAAATGTAAGCCTATCCAACATCAACAGCAACTTGAGTCCGGAAATGCCGTCAGCTCATTGCAACCTTATAATCGCTCCCCCATAAGTAAGATCAGTGAATGTTGATAATTGTAACATCAATCCAGCTCAGGCATCATCGTTTCTTAAATACTTGTAAATCATTGAGTTTAACGATACATATTTTATACATGCAGCTGCTAAATGTTGTTCCCTTTAAGAATCAGTTGTATGTTCGTTTCCTAAATATATTTGAGTAACACGCTATACCAAGATTGTACTGTTCACATAATTCCGGACCTATATGAGCAACCCTAACAATTAACCAAATCATGTTTCGTGATGAAAACGTGAAAACCTTTTGTGTTAGAAAATTTTTTGTGTATTTTTAATTTTTTTCTCAACAGTACCGTAATCGGGGGCGTCTTGTCTGTGCAGTGTCCAGATATGGACTTGTGGGTTTGCTGAAAAAGTTCCGTATAAACTACTCCGACCTCAATACACAAGTGGTGAATCCGACTGAGGAGGTTGCATGGTCGTTACTGAGACGGGTATGTTGTGGAACAAATGTCCAGTGATGCTTGATTGCTGATGCAGTTGATTCTAGGTGTATCAGCAATGCTGCTTTTAACTAATATTCCGTTTGAACTCTTTTAGTCCAACAACGAAATGATCTCCGACCCCGCAAACGAGGTACGTCCAATAATTCCGTCTCGAGATCTGTTTATTACTCGTGCCAGGCCTTTTGTCTTTGCCCTGGTTCAATTTCAAAGGGTTTGAGCTGTACATAATTAACTGGAGAGCAGTCTTAGGCACTGTGTAGTCAAAAAGATGGCGTCTTTTGCGTCATTTTGACGTCATTTGGTCCCAACTCTCATGTCGCTACCGCTGTACAAGCGCGATCAGGCCGAAGTTACGGAACTGTTTCCCCTCTTTTGTTTTCTTCAAGCGGTTCGCTATGATGAATTACTTACACATTGAAGCTCTACCCAATTCCCTGGGGGATAAAAAACGTTTAAACTGTCGTGCGAGAATTAATAAAACTGCTGAAATTTGCATACGTTCGCATGAATTAACTCATTGCTATAGCTTAATTCGGCCAATAAACAGACTTCACCAAGTTTCCGGATACGCACAAAACCGAGATGATTTTTATCGGATTCATCGCTGCGTGTGTGAACGGCAACATGAATCCGGTACTAAAACGTTTCGGTTTCGTGACGAATCCGGAATCTTTCGCCCTCATCTGTTGTATTTATCTTTTACAGCCTAAGATAAGAGAGTTTTTGGAGTACGTTGGTTTGTTCCCCGTTTGGTTGAGTCATTAATACAAGAATGTAGAGTACAAAAAAGAAAAGGAGAAGATATAGAAGCTATTATTGCAAGAGTCACCAGCACAATCAAAAATTTACATTATGTTCTTAACGAAGATGTTCAATCTCTTAGTCCCGGATCACGATATGCTCATATCTGTGCACTAGCGTTATGTGTTTCGAGAGGGCTTCATCCCGCAGAATTGCCCACCCTCGTGGACAAAATGAATGTGTCTTGGACCTGTCTGAAGGAAACTTCGGATGAAGTGTTAACATCAGTGTCTCCTCTTGCAACGCATGTTGTCAACCAGCATCTTTCCACTGATGTTTCCCTTCGGGACGAAACGGTAAGTGCCGTGAATTATAGTAATGGCGTGTATCTATTGCAATGAAAAAAGCGTCTAGCTATTGAAGCCACCAAGTAAATTGTTGGGAAAAGAACCCAGCTGGCGGTTTCCGAGAGTGGAGGCACTCTTCGTTCACCGGTCAAAATTTTTTTTTTTAGGTTGAACTACTCAAGCAAGTCAACCTCAAAGGTGAAAGCAATGTTCGCGGATACATTTTTGAAACACTCATATTTTCGAACTTTACTAGTGTAGGTAAACTTTATTTGACGACAGTAGTTTCAGCCCTTAAATACTAGCAGATACCTCGCACTACTTTTCTCAATGAAAATAATTGTCCATTAATGGAGCACACTTGTCCTCTATTTGTCAAAATATAGCATCGGCGCGTTTGACGTTATTGGGCATGACGAAGGACAGGAAAGAAGTAAACTTAACCACGTTATCCCAAGCAGGAGTGGTTCTCAATCAAAAACAGTTTACGTCTACGTTTGAACCAGAAAAGAATATATGTTATGCCACTCCAAATATGAAGGGTGTTGACTTTATTCTGTCGCTTGAAAGGGAGGTTTATTTCATCCAATGTACAGTCAATAAAGCCTTCATGACTGCAAAAGCGTCGTTTTGGCAAACTTGTCCGAGCGAGTGGACACCTGTACTCATTACGGTGTTTGATGTAGAAGATACTATGCGAAGCCTACTCACCTCGAATGGAACTCTATCAAATGAATTTAAGAATGGGAAATTCTACATTGGGGACGCTAAAACATTGTTAACAGAACATGAAATTAAATTATGTTCTCCAGCATAATTTAATTAAATCTTCTGGCGTTGCTGAATTGATTGTGAAATGATTGGGTCATTATGAAATAATTTGATGGGTGAATTGGTGATAATTGTAAAAACGTATTTAGATAATCAATATTAACATATTTAGATTTATTCAATGGTTCATATTTTAATGGGATTTATGCAATAAATGATCTATTTTAACCTGTAGAGACACAGATGATTTACATATAGATCTCATCTTTTAAAGTGCCTATGCAGGCGACATAATTTTTGTTAAAAAAATATATCTCAAAGACTCAAACCAAAATCCGAGGGGCAAATCACTCCAAAAAAAGTGTACGGATTTTGGACTTTCAAAATCGACTTTTTGGGAATTTTCCGGACTCTTTGGAATTTTTCCGGACTCTTTGAAAATCTCGATAAAACGAGATTTTTAAAATATTTTCAATTGTGTTGTTGAGGCTTGATTTGAGACTCAAGTTAATTTAATTAAGGTATATAAACTCGGGTATAACAAACTCAAGAACTTTTATAATAAGCCATTCAAATGTCCTGTCCCTAACCCTAGCCCTAAAGAAAAGAAACAAACTAAAAATCGGAATAGAAAAAAAATAGCAAACGTTGTTGTAGCGGTGGGGCCCGCATAACGTTATATGGTTAAGCATACTTCGTGACCACTAGACTACCGCTGCAATACTATCCTTGCGGTCACCGTTCCTATGCTGTCTGGCTACCAATTTGATAAGCGAGTATAGTGCTATGGCGCGTAGTGCCCGTTCAGCGCCACATCTATAGTCAAAATTCGCCGTTTCTTGCCCATTTTTGCGCTCTTTCTTGAACTGTTTGAAAAAAAGCCAAAAATTAAGCAAAAATTAGTTTCAAGCTCTCCTCCTTTGACTTGCAGAAATGTAAGCCTATCCAACATCAACAGCAACTTGAGTCCGGAAATGCCGTCAGCTCATCGCAACCTTATAATCGCTCCCCCATAAGTAAGATCAGTGAATGTTGATAATTGTAACATCAATCCAGCTCAGGCATCATCGTTTCTTAAATACTTGTAAATCATTGATTTTAACGATACATATTTTATACATGCAGCTGCTAAATGTTTTCCCTTTAAGAATCAGTTGTATGTTCGTTTCCTAAATATATTTGAGTAACACGCTATACCAAGATTGTACTGTTCACATAATTCCGGACCTATATGAGCAACCCTAACAATTAACCAAATCATGTTCGGTGATGAAAACGTGAAAACCTTTTGTGTAGAAAATTTTTTGTGTATTTTTAATTTTTTTCTCAACAGTACCGTAATCGGGGGCGTCTTGTCTGTGCAGGTCCAGATATGGACTTGTGGGTTTGGTGAAAAAGTTCCGTATAAACTACTCCACCTCAATACACAGTGGTGAATCCGATGAGGAGGTTGCATGGTCGTTACTGAGACGGGTATGTTGTGGAACAAATGTCTAGTGATGCTGATTGCTGATGCAGTTGATTCTAGGTGTATCAGCAATGCTGCTTTTAACTAATATTCCGTTTGAAACTCTTTTAGTCAACAACGAAATGATCTCCGACACCGCAAACGCCAGGTACGTCCATATAATCCGCTCTCGAGATCTGTTTATTACTCGTGCCAGGCCTTTTGTCTTTGCCCTGGTTCAATTTCAAAGGGTTTGAGCTGTACATAATTAACTGGAGAGCAGTCTTAGGCACTGTGCAGTCAAAAGATGGCGTCTTTGGCGTCTTTTGCGAGCATTGTTCTGATAACAGTAATTATTAATCTTTTTCAGTTTGTTTCTACTGAACTTATGCAGATGGAAACCTCGAGCCCAGAAAAAGAAGATAAGGTTTTGCTACCCTAATCTAAACTTTATGCCAGATACCATATTTACTCGTTTAATTGCGATCAATTCTACGCATCGTGTTAAATCGGTCTTTGGAATTTTCGTAATGCGCAGGTCAGTCGTGAAGGCAGAGATTCCAGTGATTTGTGCGAGGAGGTTGTCAAAATGTAACATTTGGCTACATCTAACTTTCAATTATTTTTGTTTAAAGTTCTTGTTACAATGACAAATAAGAATTTTTAAACAGCGCCGCCCCCGATTACACCCGGGGCCGTAACTTAGAACGATAGTTGTGGTGTTTATTCATATATTCAGTTCTGCCCGACGGATTTCATTTGAGCTATTGCACTTACAAAAGAGCATCCGTCGGGCAGAACTGAATATATGAATAAACACCCCCCCAATTATCGTTCTAGTTGCGGCCCTGATTACACCGCTCTATAAGGAAACGCACACTGTACCGGTTACTGGAACCTGAACGGGTCTCACCGGTTACTGGAACTCAACGCATGGGGAGTTAGACTAATCCTATCAAAAGATTGTCCCACCGGTGAGGAGAGATCACGCAGATCTATGTGACAAGTTTGGGACATTCCCGCTGTTTGGATCAGGCCATCCAAACACGGAAACCATTAAAGTAATTGTTAATTAATTACACCATGAACTAACAAGCACTCGTCGTGATTTTCAAAATAAAATTGAAATCAAGAGAAATCTGTGTTTTAATACCTATGGAAATATCAAATACCCCCATTCTCTTGAAATTTTGACGCAATGAATCCTCTGATTCAGAACTTCCGGCGCCGGGTCGCTGCGCATTTCTCAGAAGCAGAGAAAGCATAAGGTAATCCCTGAATTCGTTGAAGATCTCTTCCGTGATTATCGACTGCGACAGAAACTCTGGAAGCCAAGCCTATCTTCAGCCGTTGAAGACTTGAAGTGAAGCATGATGCGGCCGCGATCATGATGTACGTAATTCCCAGTCTTATTGCTCGGTCAGTTTGTGCCCGTGCTCGATATAGGCCACAGAATAAGGTTATTCTGTGATATAGGCATAAGAAAAATATTTTTTTCTGTTTGGTTTCATTGGCAGTAGATCAAGAAAAGATATAACGGTACGTGAATGCTCTATATGTAACTTATTTTGAATTGCCTTTGAAGTGAGGTTTTGCGTGTGGGCATTTAAACTGCCAGAACTCAAATTATATATATAAACTATATAGAGAAATTTGTAAATACCGTTGCCGTTGGCAGAGTTGACTGCTCAATGGATATCCAGAGCATATTATTGAAAATTAAGCAATAAGCCAGTATTAGTTTTCAAGAAAACTTATACTGGCTTATTGCTTAATTTTCTTAGCTTTTCTCCCTTAAATTATAAAGCTGGTTTGGTTCGAACGCTTATAGATAGAGCACGAAAAATTAACAGCTCAATTAGCGAAAAGAAACTCTTTTCCTTCTCACTTCATTGATTATCAAAATTGCTGAAGAAAAACATCCTTCCACTGCCCCGAATGTTTCTGGCCGAGAACCACAAAGAGACACTGAAAATGTCCGATATTTTCAACTGCCATATATAGGCCACTACTCCAAGATCACACAAAACGGTTAACAACTATTATCAATCATTATTGCTTGCCTTTCGAAAAAAATTGGTTTTCTCACAATATAAATTAAAAATCTTTTTAGCTTTATAAATTTACTTGTGCGGTTTGTAGTAGCCGTTTGTTACATTGGCGAAACAATGCGCCATTTATCTACCACAGAGAACACACTTCCACTGACAAAAACTCCCACATCTACAAACACTTCCTTTCATCACCTAACTGCAAATCACACTATACAGACTCTCGTTTTACTATTCTTGACACTGCCAACTTTTCCTCTACACTTAAAATAAAAGAAGCCCTACATATAAATCAACTCAAACCTGAACTCAATAAGCAAGTTCAACACTTTAACACTATCTTTAGCTTGTAAATATATTGTCGTGTAGTTTCGTGACCTCACTTAGTCTGTTGCCCATGTCTAGTTTACAACAGAAGATGCTGATTCAATTTTTTCCACAGATTCAGAACTTCAGACTTTTGAAAACGAATTTTGAAAACGTTCCTAATCTGTGCCTGGTATGACTTCGAAAGGTCGAGAGCCAGTATTTTTCTTCTTCGACATCGAAGCCGCGAACAGTTCAGTTGGTGCTGACATAATTCAATTTGGGTTACGTGCGATCCAAGTGTCCATTTGATGGCAGAGTTTAGTGCATTTGTGAAAACAAAGCAGAAATTATCATCATTCAGTAATTTAATCTTTTTTAATGTTGAAAAAATTATCTTTATGTCGAAATCTTTGCATACGCTTCATCTTTCTTTGCCCTTTCCAGCCATCAAACACCAGATCCTTTTCCTCTTGTTTTCAAGAGGATGATGAAATGGGTGACCAATAGGACTTTGGCAGCAAGCAGGAAAAGTAGAAAAAAGGGAAAACAACAGAAAATGTTTTACCCAGGTAAGTTTGAAGCGTTTTCGCCATGTAAAGGCTTGTTTGCACTGCAATTTTTTCTTAGAAAATGTGCATCATTAGGATTTAAATGAAAATTGCACAATCGGTGACATTGAAACATAGATCGCTCACAGAAAAACTGTTGTTGCAATTACTCTGAGCTACAAGGCCAAGTTGGGAAGTTCTAGCTGTGTAGGTCGATGACTACTTCCCCATGCATCAGATCTTTTCCTGCTAATCCCTGCTTCTCCCCTCTTATATTGAACCTGCATGTGGAAAAAATTGAATCAGCATAGATCTTCTGTTGTTTTTTAAAAGTTCAAACATTGTATTCGTTTGTGTCGGGCTCAGCTCTTTGTAAGAATCTGCGTTCGGGTGGCATACCCGCAAATTAAAGCTCAGACAGTATATATTAATAATGTTCTAGTCGACTTGCACTTTTAAACATATTTAAAAATACCACGTAACTGGAGGGTATTCATCATGCAGTAAGTGACCATATTTGAAAGTGTCTTAGTCAAAGGCCATATAATTAGTTTATTAAATACGTTTAAAAGTGCAAGTCGACTAGAACATTATATATATACTGTCTGAGCTTTAATTTGCAGGTAAATTCTTTGCACAAATCAATCCACTGATGTAAAGTAACAAGCGATTCTTGCAGGTACTTCGATGTGGCACTCCGATACACCATTCGGTGTACCATTCGGTGTAGATATCTAACTAGAGTTGTCATGATGTATAAAAATAAATTTGTTTAAAAAATAATACCTAAATAACAGTTTATTTCGTTCCTCAGTTTTGCTTGCTCATGGTGGCAATCGGTCGGACTTTCCGATGTTGGTGGACAACATCTCTCGCCACAAAGCCTCATCCGGCTATTTGTACCCGAGACTTCGTGTGGGGACACATACCAACTTTGTGTAAAGGTGAGTTCTGCATCTGATTCCGAAATTTTGTTCTCGAATATTGGACAATGCTTTTTTATACATTTCAGCTTCAAGAAAACGGTTTGCCAATATTTGACAAACAAACGAAATTAGGAATGGAAGGTTTGCACAAATTATTCTTCCCTGGTGAAGACTTTAAAGGTACGTGTTTTCTTATAGGATCGCGATCTTTTGTTTTGTGCCGACGTAAACAAATTTATGTTTTGTGCCAACATAACCAGGAAATTTATGTGGCTTGTACGAACCAGTGAATGCTTCATTCATTTTTATCACAGATCGTCACAGTGCTTTGGGAGATGCAGGTGATGAGGCAAATTTTCGGGGGCCGCTTCGCAACCACCTGGAAGAAATCGAAACAAAGACGTTGTCTTCCTTGTAAGTATTTTTGGACTTCATCCAGACTCTTTAGTAATGCACATTTAATAGTGCATCGTGGTTTCCTCTTGCGCACGCTACTATCTTCTCATCGTCCAATAATTTGCCCTTTAGACATTTGTGTGAACCAGACTTTTCAGACAGTTATCTGAGTTACTATTAGAATATCCTCGATGATATTTTTTACCCCAGTATGGCCTTGACTAAGCATAACAATCGTTGACTAAGCGATTATTTTGTCTTTTTTAGTGTGGGTTTGCAAAAAAAGAAAAAAAAAAAAAGAAAGAAACCAAACCATTGGCGAAGGTTGGCATTGAATTCGAGCATTAACTCAGTATTCGCTAGTGAAGTGTGAAGTTCCTCTCTTTATATTTTTACATGATCTGACCCGTTTAATAGTTTCTTTGGTTATTCTTCTTTTGTAGTGCAATTTGACGTAACCGCCTATTTGGAAAGTTGATTGATGAAAGTAAGTTGTTTAATTTTCTGCTTCGTGCTCCGTGCTCCGTGTTTTACCAATAGCCTAGGTATATTGTTTATCCGAGTTTATGGGTCTAAGTAAGCAATAACCTATCATCCCTTGCACGCTCAGAGTTTACGGTTTACGCTTTTGGAAAGACAACCTTTCAGTGGATGGGTGAATATCACTATTGATTTGGGCACGGAGATTTAAAAAATTACAACCGATTCTTCCATGCACCGAAAGCTACTGTCTGAGCTTTAATCTGCACTTAAAGCAACAGTTTGGACCTATCACAAAGTTTGGACCTATTAGAAAATCAAAGTGGAGAAGTATGTTTAAGAAAACAATGAAAGCGTGGTTAGATTTTAAACATTTCAACTGATTCTTCATCAGAAAGACACTGTCCGAGCTTTAATCTGTGCAAACAAGTACATTCTGTGCACAAAATCAATAGTCATAATCAAGGCAGAAATTTGGACCAATTACGAAATCATTTGATATTTTTAAATATGTTTAAAGAATCGACTCCATGTGGTACACCGGATGGTGTATCGGAGTGCCACATCGAAGTACCTGCAAGAATCGCTTGTTACTTTACATCAGTGGATTGATTTGTGCAAAGAATTTACCTGCAAAAAAGCTCAGACAGTATATATTAATAATGTTCTAGTCGACTTGCACTTTTAAACATATTTAATAAACTAATTATATGGCCTTTGACTAAGACACTTTCAAATATGGTCACTTACTGCATGATGAATACCCTCCAGTTACGTGGTATTTTTAAATATGTTTAAAAGTGCAAATCGACTAGAACATTATTAATGTATACTGTCTGAGCTTTAATTTGCGGGTATGCCACCCGAACGCAGATTCTTACAAAGAGCTGAGCCCGACACAAACGAATACAATGTTTGAACTTTTAAAAAACAACAGAAGATCTATGCTGATTCAATTTTTTCCACATGCAGGTTCAATATAGAGGGGAGAAGCAGGGATTAGCAGGAAAAGATCTGATGCATGGGAAGTAGTCATCAAGACTGACCCCATTCTAACGAAGAAACAATTGAAAGAAGGAAAAAACAAAACAAGCAGGCAAGTCTTCAGGACAGCATGCCGGCCAGCAAGCCTTAGCTGGGTAGCCCAAGCAATAAAAACGCTACCGAAAACATGAGCCAACGTCTTTCGACGCGGCTAATTAATAAGCGGAACTACTTTGAAAAGTTTTGCTAAATTTTGAAAAAGAAAAAATGCTTTAGAGCTGTAATTTTACAAATCTTCGCTCCAAATCTGAAAGTTTTCCAACTAAATCAGTGGCATTATATGTTTCTCAATTTGAAACGTTTCTGTCCTTACGTGTTTCAAAATGCCGTCCGAAATAGATAAAAAGACTAAACGTCCTCTTGCTTAAGACTTTGTGTCTTCACATGGGGGGGGTGGCATGAGGAAAGGCAAGCCTTACCATTTGTTTTCCCATATATTTCTCCCTACGTTTGCTCATATAATCTCAATTACACATGCAGGCCCCATTGGCCCTTGGTGTAATTGGAATTTTAAAGGCACAGTAGCACCTGTTGAGCGATGTGTTTTAGTGAAATATAACGCGGGCGAACTTTTGCAAGATGGCGGAAACCATGGAGTTAACTACCAAGACCGAGGATTTCGACTTTGTTTTGGATATAATATGTTAGCAATATAATATGTTAATTAAGCTTACTATGTAAATTTATGAAATGATGCAAACTCCCGATCTCGGCCATATTGAATTTCATGTGCTCCGATTTTGATTTTGTTAATATTCAAAATCAAAATATTCGCTGCTCAACAGACGCCATATATTGTATAAAAAGAAACATACTCCAGTCCGTAGTGAAACACGCGGGATGTTGCGAGACTTTCGAAAAGCGTAATAAAAACACGAGCCGTAAGCGAGTGTTTTTTAGCTTTTCGTAAGTCGAGCAAAAGAAAAGTTTTACATGCCATTGCCACAATGTATTTTCCATTTAATTTATTTTTAGTTTTTTTTTTCAGATTGACTTGATTATCAATTACTGCATCATGGCAGAGTCGGTCGCATGCAACGTAAGTTTTCAAAAATTTTGCTTTCCCATCACTGTATCCCGCCGCTCTCTTTGAGCGCGGTCAAGGGTAAAACTGAGATAATAGTGAGCTTAAGCAAGTGACGTTTTTGACAACACGTACCTTCACCGGAAGTAAAGTTTTTATTTTTCACCAATCACAATTCTTGACCCAGTCTTTTGGCGTTACTCATGCCGTTTGTGATGTTAAAAACGTCACTTGCTTAAGCTCACTAATGTCGAAGTATTACCTCATGCCCTTATCATGATAAAATCTAGGTTTTTGCGAGGCCGGATGCACTAATGATTCCAGGCGGTACTGTAACATATCTCTTGCCTCTATCAATATACGGCAAGAAAAAATATGTTGCCAATACCCTTTAATTAGTATGTGACTTGTATGTTATAATCCGACTAAGAAAAACGGTAGACAAAATTTGTAGTAGGACAAAATTCGGAAAAAAGACTACAATCATGGACAAAAAGTAGGTTCAAACACGATGTTCCTGTAGATTTGACTTCATGTATACACGACATACTATATTTGAAAAAAGTTTTAGTGCTGCGTAGGCTGTAAAAATAGCAAATAACTCATTATAGTCCTTTTTTAGTTTGTTTACTCCGCTAGTAGATAGTGATTTAGGATACAATTAACTATTTCTCTAAAGTCACTTAAGCTTACGGTTCGTTGTATTTTGATGAGATGTGCAATAATCAATAAGTAAAAATTAATGTTTGAGGGAAATAAGAACGAGTTTAGTAGAAACATCTGATCACGTCTCAGCATGCCATCGGTGACTTTTATCCACCAATTATTATCATAACTCATCGGCCATGACGTTTCGCCAATGTACACGTTGTACCCGATTGGTTCTTTGACGTTCACATGGAACACTTTACCCTTCCTACCAAAATTATATTCACGTTTTGTACAGAATCCAACTTTGAGATGGGAAACATTTTGTCAACAGTATCTTTAGATCCATTTCAAAGTTATTCTGAGTCTTCGATAACGTTAGGAGTACAGTTTTAACGACGAGATCTTTTAGAGTCTGCACACGCTCCATCGAGTGGCTGTTGATATTGTACAACATCACATGCATAAGGAATACATTAACATATCATGTGAGCATTATATACAGGATTTGAATAATTAAACAATGTATGCGTTAACATTTCACGTGAACATTGTATACGGTATGCGCGTTGTATGCGTATACAGATAAATAGACAATGTATATGTTACGACGCTGATCTGATGTACGCGTTAACATTTCACGTGAACATTGTGTGCAGAATATGGAGAATTACCTTACCACGTGATGGATAGACTATAAATTAAACAGTTTAACCTATTGTTTGATTACGAAAAAAATGAGTTTTGCTAACAAATCCACGTCTGTAGGTAATGTGTTAGTCGTAGCATGGGGAGTAAGGAAATTTCAGACATGCAAGATGATTTTAACATTTATTTGTCTTGCAATTGTCTGGCAATTAGTTACATGCAGCAATAAAAAATAATTGCTTCTAAATCGTTATCGCTTTTTGCTCGTTTGCCATGGTTTCCTTAAGGAAGGTTTAGTAAACAATTTGGCTAAGTTTAAATTCTAATCTTCATCATCATCATCGTCATCATCATCACTGCCCTTATTTTCTTTCACATCTTCACTCGTGGTCGTTTAAAAGCCTTTTAATGAGGAACTTTCTCTTATCAACTGCAGCTTCTATTGCTTCTTCTGGGTCAAAATCATCTTTTGAATAAACGCATCTTTTGTGTGCATTATTTTCTTATGTACGGGATCTTTCTTTATTTGTCTCATCCACAAAAGGCGCTCTATGTAGATATTTTCTAATTCTTTCTGGAGTTTACGCATAGCATTCAAGTAAGCTTTCTCTTTAGCGGTATGCTCATCGAAACCACTGCTTATAAAACTTTCTTCCATTTCCTCAAAAGCTGTGTTGCTTCTTTGTTTTGCTTCTTCTATTAACGGTATCCAGGGATCCATTTCTTCTTCGGATTCTGAGTCAGACACCGTCGAACTTCCAGACTGCTGAGTGGAAGTGGTCGAGACATCATCTTGGAAATCTCTTTCTTGACTGTCCGAGTCTGTTTCAGACATGTTTCTTTCTTGTTCTCGTAGTGGACAGTGTTCCTGTTTGTGTCTGCGCTGATTGTAACCGCGGCTAAAGTATCTTCCGCAAAATTGACAGCTCATTCCCTTACCACTGGAGGTGTGGGAATGGCTTGTTATCGAACAGTGATGCAGTTTTATGAGCAAATGAGCATGTGCTCATGAGCAGTTATGAGCGTGTGCTCATCTGCTCATTGCAGTTATGCACATGTGCTCATCTGCTCATCGCATAAAACTTTACACGATTCATTGAGATTTTTTAGGACGTCGGGTAAAAGTTTGCGCTAGAAGTTTGCGCGTTTTGGCTAGGGAACCGCCGGTCGCCGGCCGTTATTTCAGGATGTGATCGACAAATTAAAATATGCTGGCTCCGTTGGCTACTGATCACAGACGGCAAGCAGATTAATGGCTGCATTTTATCTTTTTCAGTTTATAAACACTCCCGTATATGAAGCAATAGCTTCCTGGATAGAAACGGCCTCTCTACCGATTGTTTTGTTGGGTAAGTGGCAATTTTGCAATCCTATCCGACTGCAGACTCTCTAGTGGATTGCACGCTCATTAGTGACTGAGTGATCTAATGTGTTTGTAACTTTTTTGAAGGAGGCAAAGGAGTGGGAAAGACAACCACGCTAATCATGTTACATGAATCATGCAAAAGACCGAAACAAGCGACCTAAACCTAAATTTTATCAATTGGATAGCGACCAACGTATTAATTTATCCAATGGATAGCGCTTTTTTATCCGTTGGATAGAGCTATTCATGCTTCGTACAACGCAATTTATCCAGGGAATAAAATTTATGCGTAAACCGTTTCCTTTCTGTTTAGGACCTTTCAAGTGATCACGACGTGGTGCGCTTGTCTGAAAAATTGAAGGTTCATCCTGAAACTGATAGAAAATTGTTATTTGTTGATTACCCAATGATATGGAAATTCTACCATCTACCCATTATTAACGTTTGTTTTCTTTCTGTTAATATAAGACTATATCGCCATTATCGGGTAATGAAGAGAAAGAATATCCAGTTTGGTTGTTTGTTGACAACATACACGAAATGGTGAACTACACATGCTTAAACGACCTGATCCGTATGTACGTCAAGGGCTGGACACAGGTAATTCTGGAGAATTTTAAACATTTGTTTGCTGCTTTTCAAGAATTTCCTGTATGTCCATGCATATAAAATTCCCAAATAAATTCGGCTTAATATGGTAATAAATTTGGACCATTACTGGCAACTTGAAAAATTATTAAGAAATGAATTATTTTCATTTATAAAGTCTTGCAATTTGTTTCTAAACTCTTTATCAGTGAACGTGAGATCTTTTAGCTCATTTGGCAGATTATTCCAAGTTTTAGCCGTAACATTCACGCCGCTAAACGTCGCTCCAGTCTCCAAAAGGGGCCGCGCGGCCGGAAATATTTTGTGTATTCTGATTGGCTAAAATTCGTATTTACGACCCGAACTTAGACACACGTGACATAAAACGTCTCGTGTTGTCTAACACTGTTCCTATCATTGCGGTCACCGTTCCTATGCATGGTTCATATTTTAATGGGATTTATGCAATAAATGATCTATTTTAACCTGTAGAGACACAGATGATTTACATATAGATCTCATCTTTTAAAGTGCCTATGCAGGCGACATAATTTTTTTTAAAAAAATATATCTCAAAGACTCAAACCAAAATCCAAGGGGCAAATCACTCCAAAAAAAGTGTACGGAATTTTTGTCGTCTAACACTGGATGGCGAAAAACGGATGGCGAAAAACGGCGATCAAATTTGCAAAATATGGCTGAAATCGTGTTATGGCGGGGGTAGGTGAAATGAAATATGTCGTATCGCAACAAAACATTGTTATTTCCTAGGAAATTTATAATAAATATGTTAAAATAAGCATGTTTTTTCATCATATGGCAAATATTTTTAGAATATAGGGAAAATTAGACTTTGCCAGGTGAATCTGTAATTTTATGCATAATTAGCAGTTGACCTGGAATAGTAAACATTCATTTTCTTGTAAAATATGAAACTTAGGCTAATTTCAGTCTCCAGTGACCACCCCTAAAAGCAACCATTCTGAACCATATAAACAATTCAGAAAGACTGTCGCTTGGATAATTCAGGATTTAGAGCTATGTCGACTATGCCGTTTCTGGGTGTGGTCATTTTCAGGACTTTTGTCCCGGATTCACATTTTGGCACACATGATATGTTGACCGTCATGGTCATTTTACCCTAAAACGGTTGAGATAATCTGTCCTAAGTGAAATGCATACAAACTCCTTTACAGGTCCTAGACTACATGGCACTACTTCAAAACCCATCGAAAATTGGTTGAATAATTCTTTAGTCCACTAGAATCGTGCGAAAGTACAGTATTTGGATGGTGCTTGCGACGGACGGCGAAAAACGGCAATCAAATTTGCAAAATATGGCTGAAATCGTGTTATAGCGGGGGTAAGTGAAATGAAATATGTCGTATCGCAACAAAGCATTGTTATTTCCTAGGAAATTTATAATAAATATATTAAAATAAGCAATTTTTTCATCATTTGGAAAAAATTTTTAGAAAATAGGGAAAATTAGACTTTGCCAGGTGAATCTATAATTTTATGCATAATTAGCAGTTTACCTGGAATAGTAAACATTCATTTTCTTGTAAAATATGAAACTTAGGCTAATTTCACCCTCCAGTGACCACCCCTAAAAGCAACCATTCTGAACCATATAAACAATTCAGAAAGACTGTAGCTTTGGTAATTCAGGATTTAGAGCTATGTCGACTATGCCGTTTCTGGGTGTGGTCATTTTCAGGACTTTCGTCCCGGATTCACATTTTGGCACATATGCTATGTTGACCGCTATGGTCATTTTACCCCAAAACAGTTGAGATAATCTGGCCTAAATGAAATGCATACAATCTCCTTTACAGGTCCTAGACTAATATTTAAATGAAAACTGAACCTTCTTTTTCAAAAACAGTGAGTGCGCTAATCAACAGATTGACAAACTTTACTGATTGAAAATATTTCTGCTGTTCCGTAAATCATATCTTTTATATTTCATGTATTTTCGCTGCACATTTTTTCTTAGATTAGTTTCATATCCGACGGTTAGTTCAAGGATATAAAGACAATTGTCTTTGGTCACAATCAGTAGATCAGGACGATTTTCTTTGCCAGTAATTACTGAGGGATATTCGAGAATGATGGCAAGTCAGCATAAATATTTTGAATATATTCCTTCAGAAGGTTATTAGCAAGAAAATTTAGGATTGAGTTGTGTCTCCAACTATATCATTCTAGGTAGGAACTGCAACCAGAGACAATAAGAGTCCCCACTTATGTGCATTGTTTCGATTGGTAGTGAATTGTTGATGTACCGAATGCTGAGGTTGAAAATATTTCTTGGTAGTTTCAGTTGACAGGTTACCAAATACAGTTTACTTCAGGTATTTTGTTATGCTGGAAAAGAACGAACCTTGACATTTTAGTTGATTTTTCAATTTATCTTCTTGATGTTCTCAGAATGACTTAACAACCTCTTAGTTTAATAATATTGATCATATTGAGTGTTAGTATGATTAGAAGATTTCCATAGGTGGTTTATTGATTCATTTGGAGAAGATTTCAAGACAGAGGTTTCACATTGTACAAATTTGGGTGTAATGGCTTCAGATCTATATCTTTCATCAGGTCAGTGAATAAGGAGAATAATTCTGATTTGCGTTCATCATTGAAGAATCTTCTGTAATAACAAAATGATTGACCAATTTGTGTAACCGGAATTAAGCATCTATTAATGAATATCTTCAGGAGTTATTGAACGGATTTGGTGAGAGCTTTCTGGGTGCCAAAGGTACTGCATTTATCCACTTGTATGATCATGTCTGACCATTGACACCAGATTGAAAAACAATTTAGTAGGATTTGATTTTCAGATTCTTGGCTGGTTATTACAGCTGCAGCTGTGTGCTGGCAAATTGAACCGGGTTGAGAAGTTTATACTACCATTTGCGTTTAAGCATTGGGTGTGAGAAATTTTTCACAATGTTTCTGTTCTGAAACCTTTTATTTGTTAATAAAACCTTCTTTCATCAGGTCAGTGAATAAGTAGAATAATTCTGATTTGCGTTCGTCATTGAAGAATCTTCCTAAATAACAAAATGATTGACCAGTTTGTGTAACCAGAATTAGGCATCTATTAATGAATATCTTCAGGAGTGAAACAGTGTGAAACATACAACTTTTTAGGAACTTTGTCAAGGTTTCACAACGTTAGACATGTCATTTTGACAAAGTAATGAAACAGTTAAAAGGGTCTGTTTCCCTTCGCGAAATTCAATCAACTATAGACGAAATGGGGAATATTCAAGGTGATATTTCAATCTCAGCTATATAGAGGGCACTTAAGTGGGGAAGGTATAAACTCCATGAAAAAAACCCATGGTAGCATCAGTGCAGTTTGATTATGGCAACTTATATATACACAAGATTTTTATGGACTATTTAAGGTCAAAGAATCTAAACTGCTTGAAGTTTTTTGATGAAGCTGGAGTCAAATATCCAAATGTCAGCATGCATCTATATGGGCATGTCGTGAAAGTGGGCAGTGTGTGGAAGTCATCAAGAAATGCGAATATCCTAATGCAACTGTTAATACCTTCACTCTCTCTCTCTCTCTCTTGCAGTCAGTTGATTCAACGAAGACTGTTCATGGTCTTGGCTTGGATGAGATTGCAGATCTCCATGCGGCTCTGTTGACAGCGATGTTTTGCCGGCTATTGGTCGGGATCTGTCTCCATTTCATGTTTCTTTTAACAACGTCCTTGTAGCGGAGTCTAGGGCAGCCATCATGGATTTGAGAATACAGCAGTTGTCTTGGGAGTCTTTCTGTCTCCAACCTTTGCACATGACCTAACCATCTCAGGTTCTTTTCAATCAGAATGTCAGCCATTGATGGCAGGTTTGCACGTCTCAGAATTTCTGCATTCGTCGTCTTGTCCTGCCATTCGATGCCCATAATATCCTTCAGTTGTCTCATCATAAAAGCTGTGATCCCCCTGTGGTCATCTTTGAATGCCACATATAACATAGCGGTCAGGTGGTACCTTGCTCAATCATCCAAATGTGTTCAATCAACTTGTGAAGTTTCTCCTGGAGTTTCGTCTCTGCATATTCCAGATCTCTGCGGGAATTCCGCATTCACCTAGGGCTTTATTTTCCTTGATGGAGGCGATTGCCACTGTCAGCTCATCGAAGCTCGGAATTGCGTCTAAGTCACTATCAGCTGTGATATATGGAAGCTGATCTAGAGCAGCCTGATCCACCACGCCCAGCACATTTGACAGCTGGTCGAAATGTTGTGCAAAATGATTCAGGATGTCCTCCTTCTCCATTAGTATTGTCACATCATCTTGGGCAATAAGTTGTTCCGTCCCTCTTTTCTGTGGTCCGTAGATCTCTCTAATGCCATTGTAGAATGACTTCATGTCGTTTGCATCTGCAGCCCT